ATTGTCAAGCATGTTGGACTGTTTATTTTAAGACCACATTTTGTAGTTGTGGAAATTGACTTATCTGGAGAAGAACCAGAACTGGAATGGTCTTGACCAGTGATTTTCAACTGGTGTGCCACAGAAATGTTTAAAACATGCAATACTTGACTATTGAGTCAGGAACACTGACCTCTTTTCCTTTGGATTGTGAAATAAAATTTAAAAATGACAACAGTGAACACAACAATAGCCTTCCAGTGTGAATGAATCAAAATTATACCCCCTTTTTTTATCTGATAAGCAAAAAATATATTTTCAATGTGCCAAGTAATTTTAGTAATTGGTTTATGTGTGCCATGGGATGAAAAACGTTGAAAATTGCTGGTCTAGACAGCCAAGAATGGTGAATGCTGTGCTGGCTAGGATTTCATGTAGCCCTAGGCAGGGGCCATCCTTTTATATATATACTAGAGGCCTGGGGCATGAAAATTCATGCACTGGGGGTGTCCCTCACCCCCGCCTGTGCCCAATTCAGCTTGTGGTACTTTGTATGGAAGCCCCAGAAAGCTAATACACAATGGATAATTTTTTTGAAAAATGTGATATTTTTAAAAACATCCCCTGGCAGCCTGGGAGCCCTCGAGGGATGTCCGACTGACAGCTTAGGCCCGCCATCAGTCAGACATCCTTTCCACTGCCACTGTACTCACAGCCGTCAGCCTGGCTTGTGGCTGAGTGGAGCTCCCCCTGTAGGAGGGCACTAACCACCAGGGGGCAGCTCCTGTGTTCAGCATCTGCTTCCTGGTGGTCAGTGTGCATCATAGCAACCGGTCGTTCCTGGTCATTCTGCACTTAGGGTCAATTTACGTATTATCCTTTTATTACATAGGATGTTTTCATTGATTTTAGAGAGAGGAGAAGGGAAAGGAGAGAGAGAGAAACCTGGATGTGAGAGAGAGGCATAGATATGCTGCTTCCTACACACCCCCTACTGGGTATCAGGCACATGCCCAGAAAGGAAATTGAACCATGACCTTTGGGTGCACAGGAGAACGTTCAACCAACAGGGCAGGGGTCATCCTTTGACCTGTGCAATGGAGCCCTGATCTGGGGCTCATTATTTTGGGGTTCTGCTCTACCTCTTCTTGGCCATTCATTCCCAAGGCCAGAATGGTATAGTAGGTCTGAGAAGCCAAAGGATGTGGCCACCTGGAACCCTGGCATCTGCCATCTTTGCTCTCCTAGACTGAGGTGTCTGGGACCTGGGACTCTTCACCCCAAAGGTCCCCAACTTTCTTTGAGAGGCGGTTTTGTCTTTCCCCTGGTCTATGGCAGTTCACTTGTCTTTAGGCTGGCTGGTGGTTAAGGAGCAAGTATTGTGAGAGGAACAAGGGAGGGGAGGGACTGGCAAAGCAATGGAACCAAATATGAATTTAACAATGGGTGTTTATACAAATTTTCAGCCCCACCCCCACCCCAATGTAGGACAGAAATGGGGAGGATGGAGTTGCTGCCAGGCCTAGCCAGTTTGTTTCCATACATAGGAGAAAAAATTGCCCCATCTTTTACATGAATTAAAGTTAGGAAAGAAAATAATTAGGATATATTGTTTGCAACAATTGTAGTTTGAACTGTATTCCCCTAGAACAGTGGTTCTCAACCTTCTGGCCCTTTAAATACAGTTCCTTATGTTGTGACCCAACCATAAAATTATTTTCGTTGCCACTTCATAACTGTAATGTTGCTACTGTTATGAATTGTAATGTAAATATCTGATAGGCAGGATGGTCTTAGGCGACCCCTGTGAAAGGGTCGTTTGACCCCCAAAGGGGTCGCGACCCACAGGTTGAGAACCGCTGCCCTAGAAGATATGTAAAGTCCTAGCACCTGGAACCTGTGACTGTGACATTTGAAAATAAGGTTCTTGCAGATGTGATTGAGTTAAGATGAGGTCATACATGGGCTCTAAATCCAATGACTGCACCTATAAGTAGAAAAACGCGAAGACACAGACACAGAGGAAAAAGGCATGTGAAGAGAGAAGCAGAGTTAAGCTGTCAGAAGCCAGTGAACACCAAATTTGTAGGAAAAGACCAGTATGTAGAGAAAGGTATGGAAGAGTTTCTTCCTAAGATCATCCACAAGGAACCCATTTGCCAGCACCTTGTTTTTGGGTTTCTGGGTTCTGGAATATGAGAGAGTTATTTTGGTTGTTTTACTCCATTCAGCTTGTGGTACTTTGTATGGAAGCCCCAGGAAGCTAATACACAATGGATAATTTTTTGAAAAATGTGATATTTTTAAAAACCATGTTATTGATACTTTAATGGAGATTACCACAATAATATCATAACCTTATTCCCCAAGGTTTTCCAAAGCTCTTCCTAACTGTGAATAAAGAGTAAAAATCATCTGAAGATAATTTTCTTTCTAAAAAATTATATATTTATCTCCAAATAAGCTGTCTCATCCTATATAAATAAGCATTGAGTATTATTTTATTCCAGATTTAGCAAATCATTACTGCCATATTCCTTGTTCTTCTAAATCATTTCTATTAACATTGTTGATATGAAGACTTTATATGGAGATGAAGATAAGAAATAGCTGATATTCAACTTAGAAAAGTTAAAATATTATGTGGTTCAACCTAATACACTAATATTAAGAGTCCTTACAGTTACCAACACACTTGATTTATCATAAAGGCTTAGCTCCTTCAAGAATGTGGCTTAATATATTATAAATAGACTGAATGGTTGGCAGGAGAGATCACTTATGTTTGTGAATGATACCAAGTTGGCGGAGATTAACATTATCATGTAGGGCCAGACAGGAATGCAAAATGATACAATCAATTTGAAAGAGTAATGTGCACTGGATGAAGTGAATTACAATTATGGTGCATGCAATATTTGAAAAATGCAACAGGAATAGAAACGTTTACATGGACTGGGTCACACACAGAGGACTTTTAAAGTCACAGCCAATCACAGATGCAGGCTCTGCTGAACTTGCCCAAATGGGACCTCTGAGCCATTCATTCTGACTGACCATCTGGACCTCATCATGTGGATTTTGGCTGCCACATTGAATAACTGTTGGCACCAGATCAATGATTCCATTCCGTTGTGGCCTATGAATTTCATGCACTGGGTCACACACAGAGGACTTTTAAAGTCACAGCCAATCACAGATGCAGGCTCTGCTGAACTTGCCCAAATGGGACCTCTGAGCCATTCATTCTGACTGACCATCTGGACCTCATCATGTGGATTTTGGCTGCCACATTGAATAACTGTTGGCACCAGATCAATGATTCCATTCCATTGTGGTCTATGAATTTCAGGCATTAAGACATCTTATATAAAACCCTAATATGCAAATCGACTGAACGGCATAACGACCTGTCGCTATGACACACACCGACCACCAGGGAAACCCTAATATGCAAATCGACTGAACGGCAGAACGACCGTCGCTATGACGCACACCAACCACCAGGGGGTAGACGCTCAACACAGGAGCTGCCCCCTGGTGGTCAGCATGCTCCCACAGGGGGAGCACTGCTCAGCCAGAAGCCGGGCTCATGGCTGGCAAGTGCAGCGGCAGTGGTGGGAGCCTCTCCAGCCTCTGCAGCAGCGCTAAGGACCCCTCAGGGGTGGACTGCGAGAGGGTGCAGGCCAGGCTGAGGGACCCCCCCCCCCCCAGTGCACAAATGTCGTGCACCAGGCCTCTAGTAATATTATAATATAAGCCAGTCAGAGAAAGATAAATATCACATGATCTCACTCACTTATGGAATATAATGAACAACATAAACAAATGAACAAAAACAGATCCAGAAACAAATAAACTGATGAACAAAAACAGATCCAGAGACAGAGAAGCATCAATCAGATGCTCAAACCTCAGAGGGAAGGTAGGGGAGGGTGGGAGTAAGAGATCAACCAAAGGACGTGTATGCATGCATATAAGCATAACCAATTGACACAGACACCAGGGGGGAGGGAGCAATAAGGGGATAAGGACACATGTAATACCTTAATCAATAAAATAAAATAAAAAAGAATACTATCCCTGCAACCCATTCAAACTCTCCTCACCTTTCAAGGCCTATTTAAAGGTCAAGGAAGTCCAGAAAGTCTCTTCCTTTTTATTTCTATAGGTCATAAACTGTATTGCTCAAACTTAACAGAAAGTTTGACATCAATTCTCTTCATATGTCAGTCTCAACTTTGAATTTGTAAATTCTTCGGGGCCAAGGGCCAAGGGTTATACATATTTTGCACTTCAGTCTAATTAATATGTAGCCAATGAAAACATTAGTAGGCTTCATTAAGCAGATCTAATAAAGTTAATGATCCCAGCAATAAAAACAGCAAAATGTAGATTTGAGAGCATGAAAGGTTGAGAAACTTGTGTGGCAATAGATGAATGTGGGTCCTATTCTTTTGATTCTTGAACCAAATTTCCTTATTGAGAAACAAGCTATATACTTAACTTTCATGTCAATCTTACCCAAGGTGATATTTATATATCTATACAATTTTATTACATGTTAGATTCAAATAAATAAAAGGCCAAAGTTTGGTTGAGTGGAGATTCATGTAAGATTCCTTACTCAGAATTTGTAGTTTTATGTACTATAAAGAGTACTTTCATGAAAATAATTTTTACTGGGCTTCTGTCTCTGCAATGTGGAGGTACTGAGTTTTTTTCTATGCTAATTTTTTTTATGTTTATTACACTTCAGGTTTATTATCTATCCTAATATCTCTATAAATTAATGTTTTAGCTTGATTTCTCAAAGTTGGTTATTTAAATAAATTTTACATACTCCATTATACTGTATATAATAATATCATTACCCTTTAGTCAATGTAATATATATGTTTGAATTTATTATAGCTCAATCTTGAACCAACATTACCCTTAGCTCTTTTAGTTATAATAATGTGTGTTTTTTGTTTTTTGGAAAACAATTTGAGTCTAACTGGATTTCGTTAAATCCTCAGGCCATGGTAAGTGTGACTGCGGAAAGTGCAAATGTGACAAAGGATGGTCTGGGGATGCTTGCCAGTACCCAACTAATTGTGATCTGACAAAGAAAAAAAGTAACCAAATGTGCAAGAATTCTCAAGATATCATCTGCTCTAATGCAGGTAAGAATTTGAATCTATGAAGATTCTTAAGTGAAATAATCAAATTTGGGTTTTTAATGGAAGTACTTATGCATTTCGGAGTGTTGAACCTCTGAATGAAACTGCTTCTGAGTATATCTTTTAGAAATGAAATTCAGATAAATCAATAGAAAAAAATGTCATCTTGCTGAGACTGGCAAGTTTGATATTCTCCAGCTGTTCCAAATGCCTCCTTCAAGTAGGAAATTCAGTGGAAACAACACCCCGATGACATTTGATGTACATTGTCAGCCCTGATTTTGAATGCTGGAATAAATCTTTGAAAAATTATTTATATAAACTGACTTAATTATTTTATGTTACAGATCCAAATTTGTAAGCCATCAAATAAAACCAAACCTTTTTAATTAAATAGAAGTTTCTGATGCACTATGTGAAACTCATTAAAGAATACAGTGACAGCAAGCTTTTTTGTTTGATCAAAATATTTTTACCTCTCACAGAAATCATTTAAAATATATTTTTAGAAATTTTAAGAAAAGCTGTTAAAATTAATTACCAAAACCCTATTTAAAAAATAAAACAACTACAGTTTCATACAGTTTCAATTCCAATGGTTTTCAGCCAGTATTACTATAATTAAATTCTCTTAACATTTGGTCACATGGAGCCTCAAAGTTAGCTTTTCGCAACCTGACTGAACTTGAGAATGTTGGTGTCCTAAACCAGAGGCTGTGATTCAGTTGTCTCAGGGTATGGTCTGGACTATAGTTGATTTTTAAAGCTCTTGTGTAATTCTTATGTAGATCCAGCGGTCTGAGCCTTTGCTCTTCCTGTTATAAGCAAGGATTTGACTACAGGCATGAATATCTTCCCTCCGGAAGCTTACTTTGTTGGTAGAGTCCTGCAATCAGAGATAAGACCTTTCCAGTTTTTGATCTGCAACAAACTGCTCTTGTGCAGCCTAAGTGCAGTGAGGTGGTTTTGCTCTTGCTCCTAGGAATCAGAGCCACGTCCAATGCAAGATGTGAATGGACTAATCAGGGGCCATGACTAATGGTCTCAGCAGCCAGGCCACTTTCTGTGTTTACTGATATTCTTGCTTCTTTCAGTCTTTTCTTTTCTCTCAATCAGATTTCTCTACTTCCAGTTCATAGCACCCACCCCTCCAAATGTGTGTGCACCCACACGCTCACCCCTCACACCCCCACACAGCTTCTTTTGTTTTGAAAACTTTATGCTTTCCAAACTTTCTTAAGTAATAATACTTGAATTTTGTTTGTTTCTTTGTTCTTCATTTTTTGGATTTGTTTATTTTGTTTTCAAGTTAAATTCAAGGTATTGGGTTTTGTGTGTGTTTTTTTTCTCCTTTTTAATAATATACTCAACAGGTAGATTTTAGCTTAGGAATCCAAAGATGTTTCAACATAAGAAATCTAAACATGTGATGCACTACATTTAGATATCTTTAAAGGGAAATTTTACAGAATTCTTTTAATAGATAAAAACATTTAGTAAGCTACAAAACACATTTCTCAGATATGTGTATCCCTATATTTTTTAACATTAATACAAAGCTTTTATGCAATCTACCATTAATATTCCAGTTTTTTCAATTGACCCAACAATGTTTATTCTTTATAGCCTACTAGAGGCCTGGTGCATGAAATTCATGCACTGGGCAGCATGGGGGTGGGGAGGGCGTCCCTCAGCCCAGCCTGTGCCCTCTCGCAATCCGGGAGCCCTCGGGGGATGTCTGACTGATGGCTTAGGCCAAGCGGGCCTAAACCATCAGTCGGATATCCTTAGTGCTACTGTGGAGGCAGGAGAGGCTCCAGCCACGCTCGCCAGCTGTGAGCCTGGCTTCTGGCTAAGCATTGCTGCCCCTGTGTCTATCCCTATATTTTTTAACATTAATACAAAGCTTTTATGCAATCTGCCATTCATATTCCAGTTTTTTCAATCGACCCAGCAATGTTTATTCTTTATAGCCTATAGTCAGTCCTATTTTGACCAGCCTAGTTCAGGACCACTCCCCTCAAATTGCATTAGTGTATGAGTTCTTTCTACTAATCTTTCTTTCCACTTCATATTACAATGTGGTTTTCTGGAAGTAGCTTGGAGCAGAAGGGGAAAAGAGATAAATGGAGTGGGGCATAAGACTGAAGGGCAGGCTGAGATGGAGCTGGGGACTGATGGAGTTCCAGAATCTTCTGACTCTGTAGGGGCCCAGAAAGGCAAGCACAGTCTGCAGGGTGAAGTAAAGTGTGATGCCATTGCACAAGGGTATAGGCCAATGTTCAAAACTGGGAAGCTATCCTAGAGAGAGACAGCTATATTAGTCAGAAGGATGTGTCTGTGCTAAAATAATCTGGCATAAAGCAGAAGACCAGTCCTAGAACCTGAGTTAACTGGCAACCAAGAGAGGGAAGCAGTATGACATAGCATGAACACAGGAGTCTGGCACTTTTGCCTGGTCTTCCATATGCCATATCTTGGAGCCTCAATTGTGATTTCTACTTGGTAGGTGAGACAGGAAGTCTTTGAGCTGTTGTAAACTTCCTACATCAGCCAGGAATGGTTCCAATGTGTGGATGGGAGTGAGCCTGCCTGTGGGAGATGTCAGTGAGAAGTTGTAGAATTCAGAGGAAGAGACCGTTTCTTCTCATCTTTCTTGAAAATAACTACTGCATACACTCCTATGTTATACCTCTCTCTCCAAAACCATGAAGCCTCCAGGAATTCTGACAGATAAATTCTAATTTTTTTTGCTAGTAGTCTTGATCCTCTACTATCTGGCTTCAACCTACTCCTTTCTCCAAACTCAGGTCAGATGCTTCACTGTTCTTTAATTCCCCACTCGTAATCCTTAGCTCAAGCTCTTTCCTCAATATCACATCTTTTCTTCATTTCCACTTGTTGAAATTCTATCCATGGTCAAGTGTCAACTCTAGAACTTACTCTTTTATTGTGCCTTTCCTCCTTCACAGAGCCAGACTAGGATTTAAGTTTATACTTTCTATAAAGCATTTGTCACAAATCTATTGCAAATGCCTTTGCATCATCTGGTTTTATATATATAAAATATTATAAATACATACATATATACATACACAAAGATTAGCTAAAGCAGGTTTACAGTTGTATGCGAAACACAGAGTTTATTCTTGTATTACTATTTATTATCTTATTATTTTTTGTATTAAAACTGTAAGCCTACTTTTGCTCACCCCTGTATAAATTATTAATCATCTAGCTCTTTCTGCCTGGTCTATGATTTACTTCTTTTAATTTTATTCATCTTATTATCTCTTATAATTTTATTCATCTCGTTATCTTCTATAATTTTTCTCTTATTATCTCCTATAGTTTTCCAATAATATAATAGACAACAAGAAAATTTAATGAATACATATGTGGATGGTTGAATGACAGCATAAATGTGACAATGAAAAATAAGGTTAATAATTAAAGAAAAAATTGAAATGAGGCAGGACCATGAATTATAGCATTAGATTTGAAACAAACTTTTATAAGTTAAAATCATTTTCAGAAAAAAGCACACAAAAAATGAAGTTTAATAAAAGTAAAATTCATACATGAATTCTCAGGGAAGAAAAATAACAAGCTCAAATTCTGCAAAATCACGAATTTATATGTGACTATAAGATAAAAATAGGTATTATAGCTAATAACAAATTTCAAGTGACTAGAGTAACAGAATCATGCAGAAGGTATGAAAACAGGGGTGCATAAATATAAAGTGTACCTGGAGAAATATACTAGGTATCTTAATGGGAGAAGAGGAAAAACCCAAAGTTTTCTGAAAGACTACTATACACTAGACACAGTAGTGTTTTTAGAAAGATGATTGGATGATATTTATCACTTGGTCCTCACAGCAGCTCTATGAGGTAGATATCATTTGTAGATACGGAATTTGAATTAAAGATTAAAGTAATAACCTCAAAAAGGTGTAGCTAGCCCTGGCTAGTGTAACTTATTTGGTTTGGCATTGTGCCGTGCACCAAAAGGTTGCTGGGATTGATTCTTGGTCAGGGCACATGCCTGGGTTGTAGGCTTGATCCCCAGTAGGGGGTTGCAAGAGGCAGTGGGTTAATGTTTCACTCTCACATACATGTTTCTCTCTCTCCCTCTCTATTCCTCTCTCTCTAAAAATCAAGAAAAATATAGCTAGTGAGGATTAAAACCTGGATTTGGCTACACGTCTACCTAAATCCAAGATTTTCAAGTAGGTCACATATAGAATCTTCAGTATCGAGTGGCTCAAATCATTTATCAATATCATCTCTGGTTCCTCCCTATTCTTCACCAAGTCAAGCCTAATCAGTCACCAAGTTTTGTCTGTTCTTCTACAAAAGGTGTATTTGTTTCTTTCTAAAGTCCTTGCCATCACCTCGGTCAGCTTCTACCTTCTATGCAATAATTCTTTCCTCGTATCTACTTTTCCCTCATTTCAGCTTATTCTTTGTATGACAACTAGAGTAATCTGATAAAAATTCATAAATTACCACATGACTCTATTATAAATATATTTATGGCTTCTCATTATTCTTGGGAAACATCGATCAGCCGCCTCCTGCACATCTCCCACTGGGGATGTGCCCGCAACCCAAGCACATGCCCTTGACCGGAATCGAACCCGGGACCCCTCAGTCCCCAGGCTGACGCTCCATCCACTGAGCCAAACCGGTTTCGGCTACAGTTCAAAATTTTTAACATGACCTATAAGACTTCCATAAATTGCACCTTTAGTTGCCTAATTCTTTTTATGCCACTTTTCACATTATTGTTCTTCAGTATCTCTCATTTCTCTTATCTTTTTTTTTGCTTGGTTTTTAGTTTTCAGCTTAAATAAGAGTTACTTCTCCAGGGACCCTATCTTTGACTTTCAGGTGTCAGTTAAATCCCCTTGCTATGTGCTTTTGCAACACTTTGCACTTCTCCATTTACTTTGTCACATTGAGTTCTGCTCATATAAAAAATCTGAGAGAAGGATTTGATTGAGTTGATCTGTTATATTCTAGAGTCTAAGGTGGTGTCTGGTGAGTGGTAAAGTCTCAATTTATCTTTAATGTTGTGATGATCAATTAAAAATTGAAAAATAAGTTTTCAAAAGGAAGTTCCTTAAATGAACATTCTATCTCTCAGTATCATTTAAATGCTGTTTTACTTCAGTGAAATCACTCTCAGGGGTTGAAGTCAAATCCTCAAACTTGGCTGAATATGTGCTATGTGGTAGACCAGATAACTCCAGTGCCTCTATCACCCTGAGCTGCCTTGTGGTTCTGATGAGCTCCTAGGTTTCTCTGCCTAAGAAAGCCCATTCTGGTCCCTTGTCATTAGAATATGTATATCAGCTTGACACTGTGGATATAAAATTATTAGGGGCATCTACATTTTTCATTTATGCATTTAATAATGAATTCCACAAATGTCTATTACATAAATAGTATACTCAAATATTATATCAAGCATTGAGTAAATACTGGTGAGGCAGATAAGTAAGGTTACTTTCCTCACAAAGCTTAGAATTTTCTGCTTTAGTTCACTTCAGACCCAGGTAAATCAGAAGGTATTCATTCATGCATTGATTGGAAGGACATGAATAAGCAGCTTTGCACTGAGGAGGTCAAATTTAAATTCATGAAACTATTAGAGGTCAATCATAATGGCTGTGCTAGAAAAAATAATTTCTGTGCTACAATAATCTTAAGAAAGAATGTCTTGTTATCTATCTCATCATACCCAAAAAAGTACATAATTTCAATAGTAAATTGATTTGAATTTTCTCTCTTTGAAAGAGGTTAAATTCATTAAGTATAATTTATATGCATTTGACAAATAATTTTTGCTTGGTTTTAATGGTTTAGGTACATGTCACTGTGGCAGATGTAAGTGTGATAATTCAGATGGAAATGGACTCGTTTATGGCAAATTTTGTGAGTGTGATGATAGAGAATGCATAGATGATGAAACAGAAGAAATATGTGGAGGTATGTATATTAACTGCAGAAATTAATAAAGTACTTGATTTTTCACTTGTTTCATTGTGCTTTTATCTCTCTATAAATTTCTGTACCAGCTTTATGAATTTTATCTGAACTTACATTATTAGGGAAACATTTTATATAAGGAAAGTTATACTAAGGCATTCAAAGTAACTTGTACTTTTTAAATGCAAAATCAGATTATTGCTGGAGGAGAGGCAGATCTTATGTCAAGCAGGCCAACTACATAGTTCTGAAGTGGTTGGACTTCATCTTTTCTGCTCATCTTATCTGCTTTTATTGTCTCTTTTCTCCCAATCTTTCAATTGCGTATTTTATTTTCATTCTCTTTCTATGTCATTAACCTTTAAATGGTCTCAGGTCCTATTGGAGACATGAGGCCAATAGGTTTATTAGCTTAGTATTTATTTACCCCCCAACACACACACACAGATAATATTTTTCATGATCTTTTCTATGTACCACCATTACTCAAATCATTTTTGTCTGTTGTACTAGTGATTGCATGCTCACTAGTGCCAATCACTGGTCCAACATGAGGTAATGCCAAAGCCTGTACTCTTGACCCCTCACCAATGAGAACTGCGTCAGTGCCCAGGATGTGGCGTTCCATGACAAGATCCGCTCCTCGCCACCCATAGTGTCCCTCTCTTCTGTTTACCTAACTGCAAGCCTGTTCCTAAAGTTTCAATTTGCAATCATACCGACACAGGAGAGGAAAGTAGAGAGCAATGAAAATCCCTTTAGCTTAGGTAAACCCTTCTCTGCAGTTGATAATTTTAGTGTGAGATCATCTTTCTATTAATAAGCAATTGCTTATTTCATTTATCTCTGACAAGATTCCAGTTCATGGAATCCTATCCTGTTTGCAGAATGGGTGGTTTCAGAAGAGTATTTCCTTGGAAGGATCAGGGGCAAAGGGGGTCAGGGGGAACCAGAGGCCATTGAGAAAGGGTCAATAACGTAAGACAAACTGTCCCTTTGTTGACTAAAACAAATTAGAGCTTCAATTCCCGTGGTCATCCAGATATTCTTATTTAGGTCTGCTTGGGTCTTTCTCTCTGGCTTCATTGCTGGACAATCCACCAGGATAAAACAAACAAATGCAAAAGTCTTCTTTTTTTCAAGCCAGTGACCTAAGCTAGATACTGCTCAGAGAATTCTGCCAAAGGGCTCCGTCCAAAATAATAAGAACAATTAGATAAATACACCCACAAATATGATGTATTTGTCCTCTTGCTGTTTCAGTTACAATTATTACAAATCAAAACAAGAGGAATGGAACATGCTTGGGGCCAAGGTGTTCTGATGCAGACCACCAAAGCAAAGTCTATTTGCCTTTGTAAATGTAAACATTTAACTTGAAACAACACAACAGGAGATTGTTAACTCTCAACCTTTCACTTAGATTTCCGTTTGTTTGAGGCTTAAGCAATTTCATGGTGCAAAGTCTCTGACCACAGACCCCAGCTTTCTGGTAAATCCTCTGGGGGTGACATTGACTGGGCTTGCAGATCTTTCCACCTGTCATTCACAGGGAACCAATCTGTTGAGAGGTGATTCTCCAGCCCATCGGTGAAGCAATGCAAAATGAGATTTTCTTGCTCCAACAGTTTATACAAAGCAAAGAATGATCTTTATTGTCCAGAATGTGTATTGCCCTGAAGCTTTTATTTTATCTCAATTATTCAGATGTGTCTTGTTACAATATTTTCATTTGAGTTATGAGGATATCTGCTTACATTTCTATACATGCATAAAGGTGTAGCTTTACATGATTTTTCTTTTCTTTTTCACCTCTACCTCAATGATTGTTTTTACTAAAACTGAAATTGAATACTAAATTTTATAAATATACAAAGATTTTGGTGGGAAGAATGTAGATTTATGATCATTTGTTAATGTCAAAGTAATCCTTACATATGTAGCAGCTTACATAAATTTCCTGAAATTACAGAAAAAATAAATTCTGGTTTAAGAAGTTAATTAAGTTTTTTTAAAGAACTGGCTCATAGGACAAGCTTTCAGTACACTGTTGTCTTGCTATTTTCCAAGGTAGCCCTCAAGTTTCTGAGGCTTGTGATTTAGCATTTTAATGTAATATTGTGTGTGTGTGTACATTCAGAGATATTTTTAAGTTCATAAACAAAATGTAAAATACATACATATAATTATAATATGTAATTATAAATATAGATGTATAATTTAATAGCCTTTATATTTGCTTATGTGAATAAATTAAATTTGTTGTGGAAATGATCAAGTTAGAGGACACTTTGACTTGCTCGGTGTGTGTGATAACATATTAGGCTAAGAAAAGGTGTGTGTTTTTTTAATGGGTTTCCCAGTTACTTCTTATTCAGACAGAAAACATGGAATTGTATGCATGGGTCTCTTTCTCTGTATCTCATTAGGGCAGTTTCTCTTCACCTCTTGTTCTTCCTCTTTGTCTCTCTATTGTGTGTCCGCTTGAAAGAAGTCTCATCTGAAGGACAAGAGTTGCACAAGAAACCCTACTGAGACTCTTGCCATTGGCCAGGATGCCATAGTGCTTAGAAAGAAAAATAGCTTCACAATCAGTTTCCTATGGATCCTCTGGAATTATGGCTGTGGGAGGAAAAAGAGGGAAGTTCAAAGACTTTAGCCATAGACTCTGATAAAACATAAATTCCTATATTACAGAAAAAATAGACTAAAACACAGTGTGACCCTGGTTTTTATCATATTTACAAGAACAAGAAACACACATTCATGTTTGGATGGCATAACTACAAAAAGGGAAGACATAAGAAGGATTTTAAAATCCTGACTCATAGGAAAAGCTTTTAATACACGGTTGTCTTGCTATTCTCTGGGGTAGCCCTCAAGTTTCTGAGGCTTGTGATATAAAAGAATTGCCATCTTTGGGAAGGATTTTAAAATCCTGACTCATAGGAAAAGCTTTTAGTATATGGTTGTCTTGCTATTCTCAAGAGTCCGAGGCTTGTGATATAAAAGAATTGCCATCTTTGGAAATTTGTAGAAGGATTGATAGATACGGATGCAGGAAGTGATGGCATGATGATTCATTACAGATTCATTGGTTGTAAGTACAAACAAGTAGGGTAACCGTTTGAAAGGGTGTGGTGATATCCGGACACAAAATGATGGGGTGCCTTTACCTACCATTTGTGTCCCCTTCACAGTTATGGTGGGAATTTGACTGTGAGATCCAGGGTCTAGAATATTTCATTGATCTAAATGAGTTCTAAACATTGTTTTAGCTGAAAACCTCTTTTCCATGTGGTGGAACACAACAGCTTGTGGGACACAGTTGAATGGAAAGATGAAACATTTCCTCTGGTTTAAGCAATGGTTCAGTCATTAATAATATGCATCCAAGTAAATACACACCATTGGTTTCTCAGTAGTTGATTTCATAAATATAATATTTTAATGATCAATTCAAGAAGTGCCCTTAGAGTAAATACTTAAATGCATTTGAGTTTGGTGCATACATTTGAGATTTGAATGTAATAGACTTTCACAGTCTTTCCTATCATTTCTTTAAAACGCATTCATTTTAATCAGCTGCCTGGCTAGGACAAGTTAGAGGACACTTTGACTTGCTCGGTGTGTGTGTGATTATGTAAGTATAGGCATAACTATAATGTTTTGGGGAGAAACTACTTGATTATTTTAAGCAATAAGTGTGAAGCAGATATATTATTTCAGAAAGCAACAATGATTATAAAGAGGTAGAAAGTTAATTCTGCTTTTAAAGTTGCTTTTTTCCTCACTGTATAAAATTCATTTTGGGTAAAGGCCATGGAAAGTGTTACTGTGGAAACTGTTACTGTGATGCTGGTTGGCATGGAGATAAATGCGAATTCCAGTGTGATATCACCCCCTGGGAGAGCAAGCGAAGATGCACATCACCAGATGGCAAAATCTGCAGTAACAGAGGTGTGTCATTCATACACATTACTATGGATTTGGGAGGCAAACAGAGCTCTTAATTGTTAACACTCCTTTTCTCTGCATTTCCTTCTGTGTGGGAGGAAGTCATCTTTGATAGTCATTGACTTTGATGGAAATCAACATTTATTATACCAACAATTTTCTCTTTTTTGTCTTTTATTGAGTAGAAAACAGAAAAATTAGAAAGCTACTGTCATTCATTAAGCTTCACTGAACAAATAGTTAACATAGGAACTGTAATTTCTTTGGCGGCCGTCCAGAAATAGCATAGTGCAGCTAAAAGGCAATTCTTGTAGATACTTCTGTTAAATGTCTCTTGACTAACAGAACCATCTACAGCATGAGCATCTAATTATCCAGAGAACATTAAAAAAAAAATCTCCTCTTAATGATGAGTCAATTGAAGTCTTTGTTGAAATACAGAATTGACATAGAGTCATTTAACTTTTATATACAATAATAGAAATGTCATATTGGACATAATATATTTGGAAATGGTATCAAAAGCCATATGAAATTTAGACTGGCCTTAGGCATACATTTAAAAAACATATTACTATTGAAAAAATATAATTTAAATTGAGTTAACTGTTGATATAAACTGTAAATTCGTCAGCTGGACTGATGGATAAAGAGAGTCATGCTGTAGGTGTTCTTTGCCTACCTGATGAAATGAATAAGTGGTCATATTTCCTTCTATAAAAATCTAGAAACTGGAAAAAATATTTTTTCATTTCTATAAGTAAATGATGCATTTTCAGAGATAATACTTCCAGGGAAAACCTTAACACACACCAATTTTATCCTTTTAAAAACTGACATAGAACAGTAAAATGTGCCACATATCTGAACATAGAGAAAAGAAAGGAAAAGACCTGAACTTGTAACAAAAATCCTTTAAAAGACTTCTCTCTTCAATTTATATAGAATAGATCTGACTGTTTATCATACTAATTCACGTTATGTTTTCCTTTCATATATAAGGACCCGTTTCTGCTTCAGTTCTTTTATTCAGTAGGGTCCACAGTCACTGTAAGGATGTCAGTGTAAGAAGCTTGAACTGTGTTACAGTGGGAAATAACCACTTAGGTGTTGAAGAGAGAGAGAGGAGAAAAGTGAAGCTGATTGGACTGTGGATCAGGTCCTCGTTCTGCAGGGATATGTGGGCTCTGAGGCAGACGTCGTTCACAAACACACATTACTTGCCACCTCTCCATCTCACCTCCTGCCTTCCCTCTCTTCTGGTGCTGAAAGTTTTCTGATTTGGAGATCGGGCAGAGGCAGAACAGGAAGGAGCATGTCTAAATGAGGCTGGTAGCAGGTGAGATTCAGGAGTGTGTGAAGGCAGGCCAGGGCAGGCACCACAATGAGTTCCTTTTCCCAGGGCTACCACTTATGTCTACCCTAAAACTCTCCTTATCATTGCTTCCCCGGTAGGAGAGAGACATTAATCCTGCACATGTCTGCCTCATCTTCCTTTTAGCCCACCTTTAAGGACCAAAACTCCAATGTTTTGAATACAGCTCATCGGTGATAGAATAAATGTTCTTTATTGCCCACTTTTGTTTAATCACAATTTCTCACTGGACCCAATTTAACACACACCCATCCCCCCACATCATGTAACTTATTGCAAAAGCAATGCATATTCATCTTTAAAAATGCAGATAGTAAAGAAGAAAATGATCCATAATCTTAACATACAGATATAACCTCCTTTTGCATTTTGGTACATAATATTTTGGTCTGTTTTTATTATTTATTTATTTTTAAATTTATTATTTGTATGCTTCCTGACATGTATTTTCTTCTAATTTAATACAAAAATTAAAGCATACTATACATACTAATTTTTAATTTTTTTAAATATATTTTTATTGACGTCAGAGAGAGGAAGGGAGAGGGAGAGAGAGAAACATCAATGATGAGAGAGAATTGTTGATCTGTTGCCTTCTGCACATCCCCTTCTGGGGATCTGAGCATGCAACCCAGGCATGTGCACTAAGAATTGAACCCTGTCCTGCTGGGTTGGCACTTAACCACTGAACCACATCGGCTGGGCTGTAATTTTCTTTTTTTCATTTAACCATATATTTTGGGTATCTTTCCATGCTCACAGAGCAAAAACCTAATTTTTACCTTTAATGGCTGCTTGGTAATCCAAGCTACACATTGTACTAATTCTTTTTTGATTGATATTTATGTCACTAGTTGTTTTTCAATAACATAAATGCCATCATATTTAATATTCCTGAACATATACTTTGTGTACTTTTCCTTTCTTGTGGATAAATTATTTAAAGTAGACTCTTATGCTAACATTCCCACATTTTCAGAGTACATATTGTGAAAAAAAATGGTACATCCAGAGTTGTACTATTTTGTACTTCATACCTCACCAATCTTTGATCCTAGCCATCTTTTCACCTCTGCCAATCTGACATCCAAAATAATTCTAACTCACTATTGTTTTACAGATCCCCCCACCCCCACCCCTTAGTAATCATAGGTTGAGTGGTAAGCATTTGCATGTTTATCTATCCTCATTACATCTCTACAAAATCTCTGATTGGTGTTCTTTTTGCCTTTGTCTATTTCACTTTAGGCATATTTGTCCTTTACATATTGGTTTCTAAGAATTGTTTAAGTTTGTGAAAGTAGTTCTTTGTCTTTTGCCCACATATGACTATTTATTCCAACTGTTTGTTTTTGGTGTTTTGTTTGCAACCAAATTTTTACATTTTTATATAGATCTATTTCTATTTTTCTTTATAGTAATTTGCTTTTGGGATTTTGAATAAAAAAGATTTATTTTATGATTTTAGTTTATATTTTTAAATCTTCAATCTAACTAGATTAGAATGCACTCTGATGTGAGAGGTGAGAAAGAAATTTAACTTTATCTTTCCCTCAAATGATGATTAGCTCGTGGCTCTAAAGATGATTATTGATAACTCACATAAAGTAAATATGATCTATAACTGGGCACTTCCCCTTTGGAAATCTACATGTGACCACAGTTATATTTCTCTATCTAATCCAACATACTCTATAACTTGAGCCCATCCTAGCTAGCAAAACTTATCATTGGGTTTCCTTACATGCATCTTCTGCTCCAGCGATTCCTTAGGATCCCCACACCCATCCCTGCCCTTCTTTGCTTATTCTAGCTTTCTTGACTTTTCTTGATTTGTTCTACTTCCAATCGATCCTAGAATATTTCCCCATCTCCCTACATATCCAGACCATCTACCCTAATTACTTCAGCCCACATTGATTTCTTCTTCCCAAACTCTTACAGTATTTCTCACAGTATTTATGTCCTAGTTTACAAAATGCTAGTACTCAGACGTTTATTGTTTGCTTATTTTTCTCTTATTAGCTTTCTTTTTGTCAAGTATATTGGAAGCTTCTTGAGGAAAAGGATTTTATCTTGTGCTATTTTAATTTTGGGGGTATTATCTTTGAGACAAACCAACACAGAGTTAATGACATATTCCACAATCCCATATAAATATTGACATAGATAATAACTTTTGTTTATTAAAGAATCTCTGCTATCAACTTTAGATGGAATTTTCCTTTGTAGAATAATTTTTTTCTGAATACATGTATTTTTCAAATATAAAATAAGTCACAGATTTTTTAAAAAGTCATAGATAAGCCTTTTTCCTTCATGAATGTTTCTCACTAGACTCACATAAAAGCATTTTTCCCGTGTAGGGACTTGTGTGTGCGGTGAATGTTCTTGCCACGATGTTGACCCAACTGGAGACTGGGGAGATATTCACGGAGACACCTGTGAGTGTGATGAAAGGGATTGTAGAGCTGTCTACGACAGATATTCTGATGACTTCTGTTCGGGTAAGTGCTCTCTAAATTCCTATTTAAAATTTTTAAAATATTCATTTTCCTATTTGAAGATTCATTCTGATTCTCACAGAAACTATAAAGGAACTGAATGTGCATTCTGAAACATTGGATATCCACAGCACTCCTATTAGTCACTTGGAAACCTTTAAGATAATTCACACTTTGAGCAAAGACTGGAGAGGAAAATGCATCACTCCCTTAAAATTAGTCTAATTTCCCACCAGGGAAAGCCATTAGCTCTAGATATCTATTGCTTAACTCAGAGAATTCAAAACTGGCAGACCTTATGACAACTAACAGAATAGGTACCATGATGACAAGCTATATTCATATATTGCAAAACTTAGGATAATACATCTCTCATGGATATTTTAATGCATTAATTCTTCAATATAATTTACATACCAAAATTATTCTGCAAATTAGTTTAAATTGAATATCATTAGTGGATTCAAAAAATTGTTTCATAAATAGTATTTGCCAGGGACTGGACTGCATCTGGGCTTCTGGACCCAGCAATGAAGGAGCTAAACATGATTCTTCTTTTTAAATATATTTTATTGATTTTTTAAATATATTTTATTGATTTTTTACAGAGAGGAAGGGAGAGGGATAGAGAGTTAGAAACATCGATGAGAGAGAAACATCGATCAGCTGCCTCCTGCACACTCCCTACTGGGTATGTGCCAGCAACCAAGGTACATGCCCTTGATCGGAATTGAACCTGGGACCCTTCAGTCCACAGGCCGATGCTCTATCCACTGAGCCAAACTGGTTATGGCTATTTTATTGATTTTTTAACAGAGAGGAAGGGAGAAGGCTAGAGAGTTAGAAACATCGATGAGAGAGAAACATCAATCAGCTGCCTCCTGCACACCCCCCACTGAGGATGTGCCCGCAACCAAGGTACATGCCCTTGATCGGAATTGAACCTGGGACCCTTCAGTCCACAGGCCGACGCTCTATCCACTAAGCCAAACCGGTTAGGGCTAACCATGATTCTTGACTTTATGGAGCTTGACATCTAAATGAAAAGGGATAAATATATGACCTGCCAGAATTTTTAAGGGTTCAATGGGGAAAAAATAGATCTGTCTGCAAAAGTGTCATTTAGCAAAAATGGATTATGGGTGTTCAGCCCAGTTAGGTTTGATAATCCAGAAGGCAGAGACATATGCACAGACATCTCTTTAAGCTTGACTTCCTGGTTGGTGTACATGGATAGGAAACACCACTGGTCTATTCAAAGCAAAGGGAGATAAAAGAGCTGCCCTATCTAAGTGTGATTGTACAACTGCAAAGTCCTCTGGCCTCATTGAGGGCTCCGGAGCCTGTTGCTTAAACTTCCCACTATGGAACGTTTTCTCTTCTGATTAGCCCTCGTGTTCTGGAGGATTTCCTAAATATTTCAAGAATCCTGTTCTCTTGAGGGGATGATGCTCTTTTCAGATTTTTCTATTATTCATTAATATGAATGTTCTTTATTATCACACCAGCATAATGCAGGGCTTGACTCTATTGTAAAGACAAGGGGGAGTTTGTGATGGTTTTAGGCAGAGGAGGGCTGTAGTCACGGGTCTGGTTGTGTGGGTAAATGTTACTGAGATGGGGAATATAGAAGGAAATTGTCAAATATATCAATCATAAAGGACCAATGGCAACCTAACATTTATATTTTTTTAGCTTATTAAATATGTGGGTCTAAAGGATCAGAACTGAATGTGAGAATTTAGTGATAAGCACAGAGCTGGTAATGAAAACTATACTGAGACTCAATGAACATCATTTAAGGATGTCATTTTAAGATTGTGAGATAAAATATGAATTCACACAATTTAAAATAAGAAAATAAAGGAGATAATCAGGTTTTTTATGTATAAAAAAATGTGTGTGGCTTTCTGATAAACTCCCCCCCCCCCCATAGGGTGTGCTCTTCCTTCTTAAATTCATGATCCTAATTTGGGAGTGGGGTCGAAAATTTCAAAATAAATATATTATAGTGATAATTCAGGCTCTTGTGAATTGGTCTATCTCAATTGTGAGGGACTAACAGGGGTGGGCAAACTTTTTGACTCGAGGGCCACAATGGGTTCTTAAACTGGACCGGAGGGCCGGAACAAAAGCATGGATGGAGTGTTTGTGTGAACTAATATAAATTCAAAGTAAACATCATTACATAAAAGGGTACGGTCTTTTTTTTTATTAGTTTTATTCATTTCAAATGGGCCGGATCCGGCCCGAGGGCCGTAGTTTGCCCACGGCTGGACTAGGACCATGAGGTGAAGATGGATATTGGCATTTCAGTTGATATCTCTATCCTTTTATAAGTTCACAATTCCTGTTGCATGTTACTTAAGCTTAGAATTACTATTATATGTTGGGCAGATAAAAGCCATTAAGAAGGACTACTTGGAATCTGAAACTTTGCACTTCATTTAATCCCTCCCTTTTTCCTTCTATCCCATTTTTCTTTTCCTCTCATTTTTCATTCTTCCATATCCTATGAGATTTCAGACAAGAATGTTAAGCAATTGAGGTTTCTCATGGAAGGCAGCTAGAAGAGAATGATTAACCATTTATATGTGGTTTCCATGCTGTGGGTATAAACAGGTAGGAATGGGCAAAAGTGTTAAGGTAATAGGCTGCAGTTTGAACAATAAGTAAAACAATGATACATGAAATCTGTAATTGTGATTTTGTCATTATTTGAGTGAACTGAATGTGTCCAGTTCTCCATAGCCTGCCTCTCACAGTTAAGTTGAGGCATTTAGGAAAGAAGAAACATTGACAGAGATCCTACTCTGATAGATACTTACCAAGTTCGTTCACATATCACATTCCATTTTAGGCTCATACTAACTCAGAGAGGGAGACATGATTATCTATATTTTAACAGAAGAGGAAACAGGTTCAAAGAAATTAAGTAACTTGAAAAAGTTTTCACTGCCTTTAAGTGTCATTTAAAAACACATATGGCCCAAATACTCATGTAATTTAATCTCCAAGTGATGAAAATAAAATTCTTCAATTTATTTTGATAAGGAAGAACTATCCTCTTGGTGCTCAAAATTCTTATAAAACTAAACTTCTCTGAACATAATTATGATCTTGGGCAGGCACCAACCTCAGCAGTATTTCTTTATTCTTACTAAATCTGTGTAATTTTATATATAAGGCTTAGTGAATTATTAGTTTTTATAATTTTTCTAATTGCCTAAGTCACACCATAGGAAGGGTGCCATGCAGCTGATTACTGAGTTTGTTAATAGCTTAGTTTTATGAGACAAAAGTAACCCAACTATGTCAATATTCTCTAGTGATTTATGCAAGGCTGGAGTGTAATATGGTTCAGATGAAATGCAGCTTTATTTTTAGTTTCTATTCTTGCCATCCAGAGAGTGTTGGTCTTATTTAAATCCAAAAGAAATCTCCTGATGGATTAGTTTAGGTTGGCTCTTCTTAGTAATACACTTAAATGTAGATATTTTGTGCCTACTCCATCATAGGTATGGAAGTACAAATATTTTAAAACATAATCCCTGCTTTCAAATAAACTTGCTTTATTTATATTTTCTTTTATTGCTATATATTGTTCACCATTCACATGGTGCATGTGTTAGTATGTATTTAGTCATACACAAACATCACACACACACACACACACAAACACCTCAAAGATGATATTATTGACAAAACTTGGGTGCAACTAAAATGGCCAGGACATGACCAGTAATCCTAAAGTATACCAACTGTTACTTCAGTTCTATGAGCTGCTCCTTTGAATTTACTTTCTGATTCTGAAATACATTTCTATTCCTGATGATTGCTTACCACCCTGGTCTCTTTCTCAAATTTCAATAATTGAAAAATTATGCTGCAGTGTGACCTTAAACTCCATCTTTCAGTTTGGGTTGCCTATCAAAATAATGAAAATATAAGATTAGTCCTGGCTTACAGTAGTTTGGAAAATGGAATCATTTGATAGAACCTATATTATGTGGGAAATTTTATCATTGTGGATTACCAAAGCACTAAGGAAAGAAACTGAAGGAAATGATTAAGTTTGTTCAGTTTGCATTGTCTTGAAGGAAAATCAATATATTGAAGGATTTTTTAAAATAACAAGTACTGATTAGATCTAATTTATTTCCCCAAACTTTTCTCTATTGATTGTCTTCATATTATTTTGTAAGAAACTACTTGTCAACATCAGATTCCAGTTCATGACCATTTTAAAAGAAAGGAATGTCCACTATAGCAGAAGAATGTTTGTCTGGAGTGAATGAAACTGCATTTGTCCTGTATTTCTGAGTTTAGATAGCTTAAGTCAAAGGAGCACAATAATTGCAAAGAAAAAATTAGTTTTGGTGTCAACAGTCTCTAATATCATGGCTTGAGAGCCTTTTTAGTTTTACCCGCCCAACATAGCCATGATGACACTTGATGTCTGGTCTTGCTGCCAACTCCCCACCCATAAGGTACAGATTTGGCTGTGATCCCATTTACCATACGTACCAGCACCAACACCATGCTGTTCTCCCATTGTGTGTGTGTGTGTGTGTGTGGGTGTGTGTGTGTGTGTGTGTGTGTGTTAATGTATGCTTACAGATCTTTTGAAAGCAGTTCTCCTCATATTTGATATCAGGAATAAATAACAATCTGTATCTTTTATTTCTGTTTTGTTATCTTTGCTTGCAGAGTTTAAATGAATATTTGTTAGAAGCAATGAAATTAGCTCCTGCAGGCATACTCTACAAGCTTGATAAACTAGCATGGAAACATTACATATCTGATCAGAGTGGTGAAATTCACATCTTTTAGTTCTCTCACTTTTAAAGATAAAGTCCAGTGAGATGAGGCCCCAAAAGATGAACTAGTGACACATTTAGATCAGGGACACAAGTATCCTAATTTCTTTTATGCCCTTTCTACTATTTGTGTATAAAATACTCTGATAGTGTATGTTATGGTAGTCTAAAAGACTTTGATGCTAAATAAATCTTATCTTTTCTAAACTTTTCTTTGTATATCAAAACCATGCATTTCATCTTCTTTATTTTATCTTTATAAAACGATTTCTAAACTTTTCTTTGTATATCAAAACCATGCATTTTCATCTTCTTTACTTTATCTTTATAAAACGATTCCTTCTCTCTCTCTCTCTCTCTCTCTCTCTCTCTCTCTCTCTGGCATAACTTTTACAGAAGAATTGAGAGACTAGGAACTCCAGAAGAAAAATTGCAGTTTCCTTTATGACTGGAGGTGAAGCATAAATTCATAGGATTCATCCTTAAGATGCCCCATGATACTGCATTAAATGTACAGGAAATAGAAGTGCAATATATCACAGGCTACATCTTCCTCTAGTGTTTATAGCAGAGCACAGAAATAGCAAAGGATTAAAAAAAATGAAGTTACAATCATAACATAGAGCTATTTTTTCTAGAGCAGCTGCATTTTTCCATAATTTTTAATGCATCCACAATTAATCTGACATATTTTGATATTAATTGGACCATATTTTAACTCTAAAAATACCTTATTAATAACTTCTGACTGTCCTCACAAATTTGTTTTATTCAGCCACAATTACTTTAATATTTACATGTGGATGATCCTCAGATAGACAATAATAACCGCTCTTAAATCTGTGTCCCAACGATAGAACCTGAGACTGTTCTCCCTTCAGTCACAGGTGTCCCCAGCACAGGCTCCTGTTTCATTTTAGGTGCCTAGTTATTGGGACCTTCACACTGGGCCCAGGCTGCTGCCTGAGGATTTCAAACAACTGCAGCAGCAGGTGGCATCCTCCTGGGTAGGGACTTCCTGGCATCTTAAACCTGCTGGATATTTTGTTCTAACTTTTACAGCTATTTTAAACTCTCAGAAGTAAAGCTTCCCCCCCTTTCAATCTAACTCTTTTGTTCAGTTTTTTTTTTTTGTTGTTAAAGTGTTAACTGATCTTCCACAAATGACAGCATGTTCTGTACTTTGCCTGGTATCCTCATGGCAGATCTAAATGTTCTTGAAATGAAAACGCTTTGTCTTCAAGAATTTCAAAGCCATTAGCTCTTATAAGATGGCAGAATAGATTGTACTTTAAATGTTAAAGATTTTGTTTTTAGAACTGTTATTTACCTATGCATTTGCAATACAGCTCTGTTCGCAAATTTTGCTTGAAATGGCTTGAGGGTTGAGGAGAAGAGTAGGAATTTCTTAAGCTGGGATAAGTGGCAAAAAGCCACAGGATCTACAACCAATGAAATCTAATTGCTAATAAATTAAACTACTAAAATAAAAATCCTCATATTTGAAAGCCTAAATGATCCTATTCACATGTTATACATACAGGGTATCCCCAAAAATGTATACACACTTTGAATAAGTATTAATTTCAATGGATTAAATTTGAAAAGAAAGAAACATTGGCATTAATAATTATTCAAAGTGTGTATACATTTTTTGGGGGACATCATCATTGATGTTTCTATCTCTCTTTTCCTCTCCCTTTCTCTCTGAAATCAATAAAAATATAATTAATTAATTAATGAATTAAAGAAAGAAATATAATGAAAATAATGTGTGGGTGACTTCAAAAGATAAGACCCTGTTTCACAAACAAATTATTTTCCATTTCCAATGCTTTCTCCACATGAATTAATTGTCAAATCCATCAAATATTCTATTTAGGCTACAGCAGGCCAATACAATCACATGCATATGGATTTTGATAAATTCACATTTATAGCCCTATAAGCCTGTTAATCATATCTGGAGTTGTTGCCTTTCTTTACCCCTTATGAGCAATTAATATAAATTAGTTATTTAGGATCTTGAGAAAAATGTACCTTTGCTTTAAGGTCTAATATTGTTAACTAAGATCCTGACTCATAACATTCCCTGTTGAAATGAATTCTGACTTCAATATATTTTTCACACGTATATATATATTTTTACTGCTCTCATTGTGAAGGTCATGGACAATGTAACTGTGGAAGATGTGACTGCAAAGTAGGCTGGTATGGGAAGAAGTGTGAGCACCCACGTTCCTGCCCACTGTTGGCTGAGGAGAGCATCAAGAAGTGCCAAGGGAGCTCCGATCTGCCCTGCTCCGGAAGGGGTAAGTGAGGGCTCACAGGCCTTACCACCGCCTCCTAATCCTATGCGACAGATGAATTCAGTTCACATATATTCTATTGAAAAGCTAGCTAAGATTCCTGAATGAGCGATGAGTCTTTTAAGAACTAATAAAACATACAGATGATGTATCAGAATTGTACACTTGAAAATGTATATAATCTTATTAACCAATGTTGCCCCAATAAATGTAATGAAAAAAATCCAAGTTCCATGAATGAAAGTACCTGGAGAAATATAATCTCTCTTTCCCTTTCTGTCCCACACACCCAGACACACTCACATGCTATCAATTCACTGTAACCTTGAGGTTTGTTCAATTTCAGTTCATTTTGACTCAGTTCAATGATACATTAAAAAGAAAATTAAAATGTTTGAATATTTGCTTAAAATTTTCTGAATGAGACCATCTAATAGTTCATTGCCATTTCTGAAACTCAATAACATTGTATTGGGGAGAGTGTTGGCTTCTGAAAGAGCATTGTATGCACAGATAGCTCTGAATAGGCTTTTGTTGTCTTAGAAGGCATGTGGTCTCAGGTGCACTCTTGGTACCAGATCAGTACAAATTGAAGAAGGAGGCATTCATCTAGCAGAAAGCTGGTTCCATTCTTTTTGATTTATCAAAATAAGAAATACAATTTCACCTCTAACTTGAAAATGGCAACAAACATTAATATAAACTATGCTTTCAGAGGAACTGGTAATTGAAGTTATTGTAAATTTTATTCTTGAGAGAGGAAAAGGAATACTTCTTTTGTCTGAATGCTAGATCAGATGTTTAATTTTGTTACAGTTTTCTTTTTGAAAAATAAATTTGTTATTGAGATATCATTCAAGTACCATAAAAGTTGCTTTTTTAAAGTGTATAACTTAGTGGCTTTTAGTATATTAACAGAATTAAGCAACTATCACCATTATCTTATTCTAGAACTTTTTCATCACCACAAAAAGAATCTCTGTACCCCTTACCGGTCATGCCCCATTCTCCTCTTCCCTCAACCCCTAAACACCATTAATCTATGGATTTTCCTAATCTGGGTATTTCATATAAATGGAATTATAAAATATGTGACCTTTTTGTTTCTGGCTTTTTTTCACTTAGGATGTTTTCAAGCTTTATCCATGTTGTAGCATGAACTTCATTCCTTTTTATGGCTGAATAATATCCATTTGTATGGATAGGCCACATTTATTTATCCATTTATCTTTTAATGGACATTTGGAACGTTTATACTTTTCAGCCATCATGAGCAATGTCTATAAACATTCATGATTAAGTTTTTATGTGAATTGTGCTTTAATTTCTCTTGGGTTTATACCCATAAGTGGGATTGCTGGGTCATATGGTAATCTAGGTTTAACTTTTTGAGGTACTGTCTTTAAGGTGCAGTCATTTTACATTACCACCAGCAATGCTAAGGTTCCAGTTTCTTCACATCCTCGCCATTATTTGTTATCATCTGCTTTTAAAAATTACTCATAGTTTTCCTCATGTAGAAAACTCCCAAAGTCTCCAAGATTATTTGTACCATAGGTATTTTCCTATACTCTGATATTTGTTCCTAATGATTGTAAGTAGGAAGATAAGAAAGATATGGGTAGAGGAATATTTTTATTTCACAAGCATTTCTGACTTACCCCGTCTCTCACTGATAACCCTAGACAAAAACCAGTGTTCTGCCTGCATTAATACAGTATTGCCATTATAGTGCTTGAGTCTCTCATGCTTTTAAAGTAAGATTAAAAGTTAGTATCTTTCAGACTACTGTTATTTATTTATTTACTCATACATACATTCATTTATTGTTAAAAATAACTTATATAATGGGGAAAAAACAAAAACATACAAAATATCTCTCAGATATTTTTCATTTGTCTCTAAAATTTTTAATATAGTGCTAGTGCAAGAAGGTTCTTATGGGCTTTATCTATAAATTTTTAATAAACTCTAATAAACACATATTTGTCTCTTACCTTTTAGAGATTAGCTAATAAATTTAGCTATAATTTGAAGAAGTAGAGTATATCTAAAGTTTGTTATTAAAAAGGTGTTGAAGATATGGATTAAGTTATAATTTCTATTTCTTATAATTAATTTAAGCCTTTTGAAATACTTTACAAATAAATAATAAGCTTTTCTAGTTTCCTCATGGAGAAATTGAGGTATTAATGAGTGAAGTGATTTCTCAGGGACCCTAACAAAATATAAGAATATTGAGAGTGAAGACCAAGGATTTATGGGAGCCGGTACTCAGACCAATGATCAGAGACCCTTCCTTTTTCATAGTGCTACATCTGCAAACTCATTGGCATTGGATGTTTCATAGCAAATAGCCAATATGAAACCTGCGAAGGATTAGTTTTGTAATATATGAGTGACAATTGCATCAGTGGTTACATGACTGAGGAAGGCAATTACAAGGCCCATCGGTTCACAAGCCAGAGAGCCTCTTCAGCTTACCAGCTGGGGCCAAGAAAAATAAATTATCCTGGAAGAATGTACTGAAGTTCCTCAGTAGAGTCCACCTCAGAGGTGAGGTGAAGGCATTTTCCACTGGAAATTAAATTGGATGACTTGCTTCTGTTGTGATGACTGAGTGTGCTCCTTATGTCTTCAAGGTAGGGGAATGATTTACGTTATCTCTTACGTTATCTACTTATCCTCTGATTCCTTGATTTCTATTTTCTTATTGGCTAGGAATAACTTTTCATTTAATTTAGTTGACTCTCATGTAGTCAATATGGATATACAGTTGTTCATCTTAATTTCTACTCCTGGGAGTTAGGCATGATGTACAACTTTCTCTATTTTCATACCAATGTTCTGCTAAAAAAACTGAAATGATAGGTTACACATTAGTTTTAAACTCTTCGTGACTTAGAAATACATTTATTATTATTATTGAGGTTCTCTTCCTGAGTCTGTGTCTGGCTTTGTTAAAAAAAATGTGAACAAAGTGATGTGTTCACTTTGGAGCAGAAGCTGAAGAGGCGGTGAGAGATTTGCCATCTCTGTTTTCCTCTGGCCCAGGGATTTGGAGTATTTGAGATGGTGGCTAGTTAGCCTGGGTCTCTGAATGAGGATAATTAGCAGAAACCTCTGCTGACACCACCAAGGGACCTGTAACAGGAGCAAGAAATAAACCTATCTTTTTTGAATCAGCTCAGATATTGGGGTACTTTGTTACTGCAGCAGAACTCCTGACTCATACTGTCTGCCATGTATAAAATTTAGGGAACACATTTAAACCAAAGCAAACAAACAAGCAAATGCAACAAAAATCTCATTTCAAACCATAAAAGACAACTGAGGTTAATAATATATGCACATCATATCAATATCTAAATCAAAATAAATATAAATGTGCATATTTTACAAATGATGTATTTATGCTACTCTATCAACAGCATGTTATGCACACTTACTCAATGGGTAAAATGTTAAGAACATTGCACGCATTGTCTTTTTTGCTATCCCCCAAATATAATGAGGTAGGAAAAGGAACAATTATTCTTCTCTTTACAGAAAAAGAAATTAGAAGTTTTAACAGTTTGATACCTTACACAGTAAGTCCCAGAGATGCAAGTTTTAACACAAACTTTTACTACAGGCCCTCTGACTCCAAAGCTGTCATTTTAGATGATTTACTGGTTCTTTTATTATACCAATTTGCTGAATAATATGTAATGAATATATTTATTTCTTTGTTACAAACATTCTTATGCAAAATCATTAGTATAATTGCATGGTATTCCATAATATGATTGTAACAAAAGAACTAACTTTCTTTTCTTGGACATCTAAATTGTCTCATTTTATTCACATTCTAAATATTATACTTTATGCCCTAGCTCAGCGGTTCTCAACCTGTGGGTCGTGACCCCTTTGGAGGTCAAACCACCCTTTCACAGGGTTCACCTAAGACCATCGGAAAACATATATAATTATGTATTGTTTTTGTGATTAATCACTATGCTTTAATTATGTTCAATTTGTAACAATGAAAATACATCCTGCATATCATATATTTACATTATGATTCATAACAGTAGCAAAATTACAGTTATGAAGTAGCTACGAAAATAATTTTATGGTTGGGGGTGACCACAACATGAGGAACTGTATTAAAGGGTCGAGGCATTAGGAAGGTTGAGAACCACTGCCCTAGCTGGTTTGGCTCAGCCTGAAGATTAAAGGGTCCCGGGTTTGATTCCATCAAGGGCACATACCTCTGTTGCAGGCCCCTCCCTAGCCCAAGCCCTGGTCAGGGTGCATGCAGGAGGCAACCAATCAATGTGTTTCTCTCACATTGATATTTCTCTCTATCTTCCCCTCTCCCGCCCACTCTCTCTGGAAAAATATCCTCAGGTGAGGATTTAAAATTAATAATAATAATAATAATAATAATAAATACATATTATGCCCAACCGGTTTGGCTCAGTGGATAGAGAGTCAGCCTGCAGACTGAAGGGTCCCAGGTTCGATTCCGGTCAAGGGCATGTCTGGTTGCGGGATGCAAGAGGCAGCTGATCGATCTCTCTCATGGATGTTTCTGGCTCTCTGTCCCTCTCCCTTCTTCTCTGTGAAAAATCAATAAAATATTTAAAAAATAAATAAATAAATACATATTGTGCTTTACATTCAGATAGACTAAAAGTTGCACAAATTCTTAGTATTAATTCTGACATGTAGAATGCATACACCTAAATGAATAAAAATACATTAAAGTTTTTCAATTAAAAATTGCCACACCCAACAATTTATATTCTCTAGAAAAATTGTGCCAGTATAGCCTTCCGCCAGGAGCATATCAAGCGTTCTCTTCACCCTCCAATGCTGACAATTTAAATAATCAGTAGCTCTTCTCAATCTATTTTTCTTTTAGTGTTATGCACTTTTTTATCAAACTCATTTTATTGACTCCTATAATCATAAAAGAGTAGTATTTATCTTCAGGCATTATTATTTAGAGGCTTGTG